TTTTTTTTTTTTTTTTTTTTTTTTTTTTTTTTTTTTTTTTTTTTTTTTTTAATGTTTATAAATATTTATTTTTATAAATGTAATTATAGATTTTTTTTAATATAATATTACAAATTTAGTCTCCGACCTTTTGAGATTTATATTTATTTACTTACTTAACTTTAAATAAATAAATATATATTCGGGAACTTTTAATTTAATAATTATTTTATTATAAATAAATTTGAACTTTAACCATTTTTTTTTATAACATTACAAGCTTAATCTTGTATTATTTTGTCACTAATAAATTTATAAAATTAATTTGCTCTTGAAATAAAAATAAAAATCAAATAAAATATTTTTTTTTTGTTAGATATAAAATTGAATTTTTGGTTTAATTTATCTTAAATTAAAAAAAATTAAAAATGGAAGGACTAGAAAAGTGAACAAAAATATCAAAATTCAAAAGTGGAAATTGTAATTTAACCAAATTATTTTTTAAAAATAATTTTTACAAGTATATTAATTTTTCTTTGAAAAATAATTCATCATTCTTTTATCAAATAATGAGATTTTATTGATTTATTATAATGGGTGGGCTTTTAAAATTGTAAAATAAATTACATGTGGTTAGCTCAATTATGCTGAATTAGAAGGGCTCGAGGGTTCCCCACAATTAGTAATGGCATAACCAAAAGAGAGGTAGGAGAAAGAAGGTTAGCACTGGTGCTCAATTCTACTGAATTAGAAGAGCTCGAGGGTTCCCCACAATTTGTAATAACATAACCAGAAGAGAGGTAGGAGAAAGAAGGCTACGCGCTGGAGCTCAATTCTACTGAATTAGAAAGGCTCGAGGGTACCCCACAATTAGTAATGGCATAACCAAAAGAGAGATAAGGAAAAAAAAAGGCTACGCGCTGATTAGTGCAACACATTTGTTTCGGGTACAAAGGCGACGAAGGGTGTCAACTCAACCACCCAACCCAATAGGTCAGGGGAGAGCCGATCATAGATTCGAATCCTGCCACCTTTCTTGTAGATCATCCTACGGTTACCGGGGATGATGGGAACAAGAAAGCATAAAGTAGGAAACGAGCACGACATGTTTTCAAAAACCAAATCAAATTCTAAAAATAAAAAAAAAAACGATAAACAAATAAAGTAATTTTAAAATTCTTTCTAAGATGAAGTTGCTAAATAAATAAAGTAATTGTTCA